CCTCAGCCAGCAAAGCTGGCTGAGGAACTCTGGGAGTTGAAGTCCACAAGTCTTAAAGTTGCCAAGGTTGGACACCCCTGATCTAAAGCAAAAGTGGCTGGGGAATTCTGGGACTTGAAGTGCACAAGACTTATATTGTCAAGGTTGGACACCCCTGGACTAGATCAACCCAGAAAAGTCCTTCCAACTCAACACATTTCTATGAATCTTGCCTTAGTTACACAAGAATCACACAATATGACACGATGTAGAAAAATAGGGCTGGGGAATTTTGGGAGTTGAAGTCCAGAAGCCTTAAATTTGCCAAGGTGGGCTCTAAAGGATAGGGCCTTCTTTTCAAGAGAAGTCTGTTTCAAGTCTACATATGACACTACAGTTGAGTGTCACAATAATGGCCAGAGGAGTCCTCCTGTCCTATTGCATTTCTCGAGATTAAACGCTTCTGCTCCTGGTTTTAGATTAATCACAGCTTATGGTGTTGTTTAACCTGAAGCCTAAACCATGGTTAATGTTAATTACAGTAAGTAAAAGAGAGTCACAAGCCAGTGAATGTAAATTCTGACTTGCACTTTCCACTCATGGTATCTTGAAATCTGTCTACAGCAAAATCTTCTTGGCACTTCTTACTAAAAGTAGGGATTACGCAGGTCCCATATTCAACCTGAGCTGGCCTTATGCAGATGTAGCTTGTATTATCTGGTCCAAAAACAGCACCAGAGACCTCCAGTTTTACTGAAGATACCTCCTCTTCAAGCTCCTCATCTCACCTGACTTAACTTTCCTCTTTATTTATAAGACTGGGCCCTGCAGTCATCTGTAGAAAAATGGCAAACTTACGCTGGGGCTGTTTGGGTTGGTTGGCTTTGCCTGGTGGACGTCCTCTCCGTTTCTTGGCTGGTGGAGGAGTTGGGGCCACAGGTTCTACTTCTGGCTCAGCCTCAACTTCAACCGCTGTTTCTTCTTCCTCTTCATTCTCATCCAATTCTGGTTCAGCATTTTCCTCTTTATTATGAGCAAGGATTTTTTTTAAAAATCAAGGCAATGAACAAGGAAGAAAATAAAATGTCAACTGCCTAACTATGTTCCCCTGAGGCAAAGCTGTTGGGTTAATGTTTCTACCAGAAAGGAGCCTTCCATTCAAAAGGTGGTTGGGCAACAGAAGGAAGCCAAAGTGCCACTGCCAGAAATTTCAGTTGGGTGAAAATTACTTTTGTTACTTGCAAAAGCTTTGATGGAAAAGTGATGACTGTGTGTGTGTAAATATGTTTGCATCCAAGTATGAACACACCATGATTATGTTTAGTTTGACTCTGTGAATGTTTTAAACTGAAATATGTCAATTATTATGAGATAAATTATTAATGGAATGGAATGGCAGAAAGCAATTCTGAAAATATTTTCCCTGAACAAGTTCAAATACACCAACAGCTTTCTTAAAAGAAGGAATGTCTCCCACCCTCAAACTTTTGCCCAAAGATCCTTGCTGTACTCTTATCAACATTTTTCTGCCACTGTTCAGAAACTGAAATGGCTGAGGTGGCTATTAGCAAGTTACTATTTTGTGCTCTGCAACAGCTGATAACACCTGCAGTGACTTTATGAATCATTCAGCAAGGTCAGGAGATCTAAAATATTTTTGGAGATGTTCTCTTTCTTACCACTGTCAGAAGAATCCTCTTTCTTGGAGCGCATCTTTCTCTTCCGCCCACGTTTTCCCTTCTTGGGCTCCCCTCCGTTCTCTCCTTCAACCCCATCAGGCCCTAAGCAATTATCTGCATGTCTGGCCATTGTGTTCTGGTGATAGAAAGGCAGGCAAATGTTAGATGTTGGCTGCATGCAATGAGAGGTATCTGAACAACCTCCCCCAGTGAATCAAGAAATTCATTAAAAAAACAACAACTGCCCTTCAGGTCATTCTTGACTCCTGGCAACTATTTGGACAAGCCCCTGAAGTTTTCTTGGAAGGGGCTCCTCACTGCTTTCCTCCTTGGGCTGGGAGAGAGAGTGACTGGTCCATGGTTACTCATTTTTAAAGGCAGAACTAGAACTCACAATCTCCTCCCCCCCCTTTTTTTAAAGAATCTGCATTCATTGTCAGCTTTTGGAAGAGCCACCCAAGCTTGACGTGACCTGACCTCCGATCAAACTGCTTCAATTTGCAAGAACATGTGTGTTATGAGTCAAAGATAACACGGGTCCCACAGCTTCTGAGACAAGGGATAGAAAAGACACCCCCACACAACCACAAAAAAAAGTAAAAGGCAGCAGCGTGTAATAAAACAAGACCGTGCAAGTTCTGTCGGCTCTTTTCTGCCACGCCGAGTGGCACGCGAAGCTCCCCCTGTAAAAATGGGTGAGGGCTGGGCCTATTTGGGAGAGGATTTCAGAAGCTTTAAGAGGAAAGAAAGGGTGTCTCAAACATGTGCAAGGCTTGTTTGCACCCACCTTGTTCTTTCATCTTAATTTTCAAAAGTGGGAGGGGAAAAAAAACCTCTCTCCCAGCACTGTGTTCCAAGGCCATTAAAAGCTGGCAAATTGTGACAGTCCAGACCACATTTCTCCTATCCTTGCCTTGAAGTTTTGCCGCCCTCAAACAGTTCCCCGTTTTTAAAAGCGGCAAACGCCGTCCGGATGATTCCCACAGCAGGGTTTACAGACCATGAGCTCGGGCTGTTTGCCAGAAACGTAACACAGGGGGTTTTTTGGTAACCCACTGGCGTTAAGACACCATCCATCTCCTTCTCTTATTTACTGGTACTTCATTCGGAGCTCCCTGCAACACTTGTTTCCCACCCCAAAATCCTCCCATGTGTTCTGAGCACTTACACGGCGTGTGAATGTTTTGCCACACTTAGAGCAGACGAAGGCAGCTGGGACAAAGTTGGGATCATGGTAGCGCTTGAAGTGCATGTCAAGCAGCTGCTTCTGGCGGAAGGTTTTGTCGCAATGGCTGCAGGCGTAAGGCTTTTCTCCAGTGTGGGTTCGCTTGTGCATGATCATGTGCCGTTCCTGGGAGGAATCAGAGGGCAGGATATCAAAGGGGGGGGGGGGGGGGGGGGGACCCCAGGGCGCCCAAAGGGGGTAAATGAACCGATCCCGGTTTCCTTGTGAGGGTCCATGCTTACCTGTCGGCACGCATAGTCGCACTGGTCGCATTTGAAGCGCTTCTCATTTTTGTGAGACTTCTGGTGCTGGATGAGCGCGTATCGCTCGTGGAACACGGCGTCACAGTAACGGCACTTCTTGCCCTGCTCAATGTAGGAATGCTGCTTCCGCAAATGGACACCTGGAAAGAGACAGTCACGTGGAACCCTCCGTCTTTAAATCACCATCAACTGGGGAGGAGACTGAGGGATGCAAACATCTTCCCTGTAGCCGATTGTTATATTTAACTGAGCCACCAGATTCCTGCCTGATGATGTGAAGACAAAAACGTTTAAAAATGCTAGGATCTAAGCCAGCTGGGTCTAGTGGTTGAAGCACCAGGGTTGAAATGCTGAGTTCTAGTCCCACCTTAGGCACGAAAAGCTGGATGGGTGAATTTGATAAAGAGTCTGCCTCTCCTTTTTCGCAGAAGACTCAACTCCCGCAACGCTCACCTAAGTCGCTCTTTCGTGCAATCACTGTGTCACAGTGGGGGCAGTGGAACTTAGCCACATTTTCCGTGTGCTTCTGCAGGATGTGCATCTTCATGGTCCCACTCTGGGTGAAGCGAGCATGGCATATGTAACACTCGTAGGGTTTCTCACCTTTGGGAACCAGGGAGAGAAACGGTTAGCTCTGGGGAGGAAGGCATTGTGGATTATGGGATAGAGAAGATGAGCTTGGATAGATGGTTTAATCCCAGTTTGTCATATAAGCCAAAATCAAGACTAGGTTTTGCTGACAAACAACATATGCACTGTTTGTTTGTAGTTTCCTGATCCATTCTCCTTTTTAGACATTCTTACATTTATTTCAGTTGGTTATAGCTTTCCTCAATCTTTTTGTCCCGGAGGAATCCTTTACATTATTTTCAGTTCTCAGGGAGCCCCTGAGTAAAAATTATGATATCTACATCCCATAGTATGCTACCAGAATCAGTAAGTTGAGTTACAATGTGTAAAAATTCCCACCACTGTGAGTGCTAATGTTGCACAGCATGTAAAGTAAAAACAACAACACACAATTATTTTATTTTCCAATTGAGAAAGGCTGGGTTAGAATCTTGGGCAGAGCACAAATTAGGAATACAACAGAAATCTATAAAAATGCAAAATCTACATATCTTGCTTCACACATCATACTGTATCATAATTGCAATCAAGTCAAAAACATGATTTCAAACTCTGCTTAACTGACCAAAACAAACTGTAGGTACTGTAACAAATATGAGCTTCCTAGTTAAGCAAACAAAGGAAAGAAAAGCAATTTTGTTTTAATCTATTGTGGAAATAGTCCCCAAATCTAATTAACTTGCAAAACATTTCCAGTTATACAGAATAAATGTTGTAAAACTGCCATAAGAGAACCTCTATTTCCAGTGCTTGCAACATGCTTTACAAAGGTATGAAATATCAAGGACTAAGCATGAAAGCAAGCTGGAAAGGCTTTCTCGTTGCTTTTAGGGATAGGCAGCTTCATTTACAATGGCAGATGTTACCTAAACTCCCTGAAACGTTAAAATGAATGCTGCCCCTTGTCAAGAAATTGGACACAAGAGAGAGGGAGAGAGAGGGAGGGAGGGAGAGAGGGAGGGAGAGGGAGAAAGAGAGGAAGAGAGAGAGAGAGAGAGAGAAAGAGAGGGGGAGAGAGAAAGAGAGGAAGAGAGAGGGAAAGAGAGAGAGAGGGAGAGGGAGGCAGAGGGAGAAAGAGAAAGAGGGAGGGAGGCAGAGGGAGAAAGAGAGGAAGAGAAAGAGAGAGGGGGGAGAGGGAGAAAGAGAGGAAGAGAGAGGGAGGGAGAAAGAGAGGAAGAGAGAGAGAAAGGAAGGGAGGGAGAGGGAGAAAGAGAGAGAGGGAGGGAGAGGGAAAAAGAAAGGAAGAGAGAAAAAGAGAGAGGGGGGAGGGAGAGGGAGAAAGAGAGAGAGGGAGGGAGAAAGTGAGGAAGAGAGAGAGAGGGAGAGGAGAAAGAGAGGAAGAAAGAGAGAGAGGGAGGGAGAGAGAGAGGAAGAGAGAGAAAGAGAGAGAGGGAGGGAGAAAGAAAGGACGAGAGAGAAAGAGAGAGGGGAGGGAGAGAAAGAGAGAGGAGAAAGAGAGAGAGAGGGAGGGAGGGAGAAAGAGAGGAAGAGAGAGAGAAAGAGAGGGGGGGAGGGAGGGAGAGAAAAGGCGTTCAGCACATTTCAGTCATTTTTAACAAAGTGCAACCCGTACCAGAATGGGTCCTCATGTGCCTCTTCAGCTTGTAAGTGTCTCTGCTGGCGTAGCTGCACAGGCTGCATTGGAATGGGCGTTCCCCAGTGTGAGAACGAATGTGGCGTTTCAACTTGCTAACCTGAAACCCAAAGAATATTGAAGGGAGATTAGCAATGCGCAGATCACGATAGCTCAAAAGAATTTTATCATTCTGGAATGATAAAACGAAGAGGCCTTTCAATAAGGAAAACAGACGCAGGCCGTCCTCAGCTTCACAACAGTTGATTAGAGACCGTTCAAAGTTACAATGGCACTGAAAAAAGTGACATATGAAGTCTTTCACACTTACGACCATTGCAGCATCCCCAGTGGTCGTGTGATCAAACTTGGGAGGCTTGGCAAGTGGTTCATACTACGTTTGACATGTGTCCTGGGCTCATGTGATCAGCTTTTGCGACCTTCTGACAGGCAGAGTCCATGGGGAAGCCAGATTCACTTAACAACCGTGTTGCTTACTTAACAACTGCAGTGATTCACTTAACAAGTGTGGCACGAAAGGTGGCAAAATTCACTTAACAAATGTCTCACTTAACGACATAAATGTTGGGCTTAATTCTGATCAGTAAGTTGAGGACTACCTGCAGTATTTTAAGACTGGCTTGTAGACCAGTCCAATGGGATTAAAAACCACTTTTAAACTTTCCCCCCCTGAACAGCATGCAGTATTTCATTTATTCTTTGTGACGCAAAGGAGTATTCTTGAAATATTAAAAAAAAATAGTTCCTAGCTATCCAATAATGGCTCATATTTAAGAGAGGATCCTTTTAGACTATGATGGCCTAAGGAAGGAGCAGCACTTTATAGCCTGCAATGATAGAAGCAGGCAAGAGATTACCTAAGATTATTCAAAAGCCCAAATTATTAATATTGTAAAAATGCACTCTGGAATTATGAAATATTAAAAAAATAGACAAAGCTGATTCTTGAAAGAGTCAATTGGCAGAGATGGTGAGGAAATCTATCCCTGATCCACAAATTCAGGATTCAGCAGCTATCTTAACTTTGAGCTCTTTAGCCGAAGTCTTCTGCTTGAATGTGAACGCGCTTGTCAGAACCCTTTACCTTTAAAAATATTATTACTATAAGTTTTAAATTTTATCAGTCATTTTAATCTGCTGCTGGTTGCTGACACAACACAACATTTTCAATATGGAAAAGCGGTGGCATAAAAATAAATCTACTGGGGTCCAAAGACCACCAGAGCATCCAGAATTATGAGCTCCTCTGTGGATAGCTGCATCCGAGAAATGTTATTTCATTTTCAGTAGTTGAAACACATTTGGAGAACTCAGCAATTCTGCTCACGAACCAGCCACAGGAAAATAATCCAGAGTTACAATTATAGGCTTGTAAAGTGTTTTCTCTTCTCTCAAACTTGCCTGTCACTCAACTTTGTTATAAAACCTTTTCATTTTGAAAGGTTGTCTGTAACCCTTAACGGAGCCCAAAAGATCATTTCAGAAAGATAACATGTTCATTTCTTCTGGGGTGAAATTATGCAGATGTTTGATAACAGTTTATATACCAAAGTAGATTTGTTGCATTTCTCCTGATCAATACGTTTTCTGAAACGACAATAATTTAAAAATAAAGGTAGTCCTCAACTTACAGATGGGTTCCGGTGATTGCCCTAATTAAATCATGAATCTCAAGCCAAGCTTCAAAAGAATCCAAAAGATTTATTAGGAGCAACATTTCAGCATTGACCCATATGAAGCCAATTCTGTGACACGTAATTTACAGCCACCTGTGACCCTATTTCCCCACTCCTCCCTGGGTGTGTCATAAATCAGATTCTCCAATGAAGCACCCAGTAGGCCAAGCTACAATCTCTGTAAGATAAGCGTGAAATATACTTCTGGTTTTACTTGCTTGGTACAGCTCCTTCAGGTCCCCCCTCTCCCCCGCTTATGGCAACTCAAAAACAGGCATAGGAATGCTTTACAAGTTGACAACAACCACAATTGAGTCCAAAATTTCTGTTGGTATGTGAGACATCGGTTAAATGAGTTTTGACCCATTTTACACTCTGAATCCCTGCAGTTGTTAAATTAGTAACATGGCTGTTAAGGGAATCTGGGTGGCCCACTGGCTTTGCTTATGAGAAGGTTGCAAAAGGGGATCACGTCACCTCAGGACTCTGCAACTGCCATAAATATGAGTCAGTTGCCAAATGTACTTTGATCACATGACCATGTGGGATGCTGCATAAGTCATAAATGTGAAAAACGATGATAAGCCATTGGGTTGAGCAAGAGTGTTTTGTGTTCCAATATCTCAGGGGCTGCCACAATGAAGAGGGAGCCAAGCTATTCTCCAAAGCATCTGAGGGCAGGACAAGAAGCAATGGGTGGAAACTAATCAAGGAGAGAAGCAACTTAGAACTAAGGAGAAATTTCCTGACAGTTAGAACAATTAATCAGTGGAACAACTTGCCTCCAGAGGTTGTGAATGCCCCAACACAGGAAGTTTTTAAAAGAGGTTGGACAACCATGTCTGAAGTGGTGTAGGGCTTCCTGCCTAGGCAGGGGGTTGGACTAGAAGATCTCCAAGGTCCCTTCCAACTCTGTTATTCTATTCTATTCCTATTTCTATAGAATAAAAGGAGTTAAGTCAAAATAATAAGCGTTAACAAGAATTTATAATTAATTGAGGCAGTTCACCCTTGACTTTATAAATAATCGAACAAAATCTAATGCTTTAAGATCTATGTGCTGAGAAATCCTAGCTTTGGATGTGGCAAAATTATATAATCCATAAAATGGTTTCCAAGTGACACTGAAATTAAACAAGGTAGATTTGCAACACATTTCTACACAGAAAGAGGCAGCCTTGAAGTTCCACTTTTTATCAGCCACAATGTACCTCAGAGGTCTCCAAACTTGGCAACTTTAAGAATATGCTGGCTGGAGAATTCAGGGAGTTGAAGTGCACAAGTCTTAAAGTTGCCAAGTTTGAGTACCTCTGTGTACCTGAACAATGGACCCACCTGAACATTTTTAAGATCCGGAAACAAATGTTAACTATGAAGGCAACTCTTTTAAAGCTCCAAGCAAAACACTGAATGGGAAAATTGGTGTAGCTATCGTAGAACAGAGCAATGATAGCAAACTAGACACGAAACGCACCTCCACGCTGGCGTAGTCACACATGGAACACTTGAATGGCTTCTCATGGGTGTGTTTGTAGCGACGATGTCGAACCAACTCTCCGCTTGTCACAAAGGCCATGTCACAGTCAGGGCACTTGTGAGGACGAGTACCTGATGGATGACGAAGATTGAAAAAAATTCAAATAGGCAACAGCTTCATTTGACTCCCAGTAACATGCGAGTCTCAATTGCACTGTTTTATTTTTAAAAAGGACACCACTTTATACGTAATATGTGTTCTGATTACAGGTAAAAGTATTTTCAACACAGCGGTCTCCCATCTTTCCAGCTCCGCAGACTGGCGGTAGCAGCGGCAGGGGAGAGGAGACGGGATGGTTTCACACACAAGTATCGCTTTCACAAATTCAGCTTTGCGTGCACATGTGCGCTCGCCTACCCCTTCTGCGGCCTGGTTCCGAATGGGCTATGGCCCAGCACCGGGCCACAGGCTGGGAGTTGGGAACCCCTGTTTTAAAAGGCAGGTACCAAGAACTATTTATATGTATCTTATAGGGACGCAGTGGCTCAGTGGCTGAGCTTGTCAATCAGAAAGGTCGGCAGCAGTTCGAATCCCTAGCACCACGTAACGGAGTGAGCTCCCATTACTTGTCCCAGCTTCTGCCAACCTAGCAGTTTGAAAGCATGCAAGCAAAAAAATAGAGATCACTTTGGCGGGAAGGTAACAGCGTTCTGTGCGCCTTTGGCATTTAGCCATGCTGGCCACATGACCATGGAGACGTCTTTGGCAGCGCTGGCTCTTTGGCTTTGTAATGGAGATGAGCACTGCCCCCCAGAGCCAGAAATGACTAGCACGTATGTGCAAAGGGAACCTTTAACTTCACCTTATATAGCTCAAGATAATGTTCTTTTCTTATGCAACTGGTACTCAAAACAATTTATGTGCTATATATTTCTGATACACCACAAATGCACGTACATTCACAGCAGGGGCTCGATCAAACCTTCCACTTGCACCTCCCAAATCAGCAGTCACTCCAGGGAGCCTATGAGAAAATGGCACGACAGTGTCTCCTTTCACGGTACCTGTGTGAGTATTGAGGTGATTTCTCAGCAGTGTGACTGTCCGGAAGGCTCTGCCACAAAGGTGGCACTTGTGTGGCCTCTCGTCCGTGTGGCTTTTCATGTGACGGTCCAGGTTCGAACGCCGGGGGCAAGTGTAACTGCATAGTTCACACTGAAATGTCTTCTTCACCCCTATTCAGAAAAGGATGTTCATTGCTCTGAGGCAGAAACCTCTGCTG